TAGGCAAGATGTATTGAACAAGTCAAATCAAGGTGTTCCAGGTTGATTAAGTAGTTGATTCTATCTGATAATTTTTTAACACCAAACTTATTTCTGACCAAAATGACAATATACATCATTTGTCCGGAGACTAATCACTGGAATAATGGCAGAAACAATGGGCAAAGTCAGTTGGGGAGTCAGGACTCTCGTTATTCAAAGGCTTGAAGTAGTTATAATATCACTGGAACATATCCCCTCCCAACACACACACACGCACGCACGCACGCACACACACACACACACACACACACACACACACACACAGGAATGTTGCTGTTAATGACTGTGGGACATTTTGAGAACCACTGGCCTAGCCTTTGGGCTTTACTGAACAGAAGTATATACCTATTTCACATAACCCAGGACTTACACACATTTTTTTACTAAACATACTGAAAGTGCCCAAATGTGTCTATAACTATTTACTATTGTATTCATCTATAAATATGTTTCAAAGTTGTTTAAAACTTTATTTCATTTCTCTGTTTAAAGCATTATACTTTGCTGTCTTTTGACAAAGGCAGCTCTTTGTATCTCTTTCCCACCCTCTTGTCTTTTTAAGTCCCCAAATATATTAGTCACTTATGTATGAAACACATGCCAAGGCTTTGGAGGAACTGGGTACTCTAGTCCAGGTATGGCCTCATTTTCACACCAAGCTGAAGTGACTGCATGTAATACAGATAAGGGGGGCGGGCAGAGGTTTGTCTTTATTAAGTATAATAATCACCACCGATACTAGACAACTGAGTCAGGACATTGATCGGAGTTTCACCTTTCCCAAATGGGACATGTCCTCACAAAATCCTTAAGTCCTTTGTTCTTTTACAAATGGCAACTGAGAATCATTCCATTGACATAAAAGGCTTACTGTACAATATGAATTATCGATGGTTTCTCAGTGGTTTTAGTATTTCTGAGAGCCCCTTGATAGTAATCATTGGAATAGCATTGAGTATCGGAACTATTTAATCGACTATCAGCAATTAACCACAATAACTCAAGTAGGTTAAGGTATTTTCAGGAGTTTTTCATCGGGAAATTTGGCCGTTTCTTGGCCAAAAATACATTTCTATAACTAGTTGATACCTAAAATTCTATAAGTAGAACTTCATTCCTTTGGTTTAAGGCTTTCCCCTGTTCAAACGCAAATGGCCCTCAAAAGCAATATGATTAAGCCTTGTAATAAATGAACTTATCCCTTTCCTGAGAGCTGGTATTTCTTAGAGAGGAGAACAAATTAGGAGGCATTGAGGGGAGATGGTGCTGGGAAGCAAGGATTGGGGGAGCATGGAGCAGAAAGAGGCGAGTGAGGATCCCAATAGCAGGCCTCCGATTCATTCTCTATTTTGCTTAAGGGTTGTTCTGATCTGCTCCCTACTGAAATGGGTGTTAACGTGCTACTTTCAGCAGGTTACTTATAAATAAACCATGCTTTCTGATAACATTGAAGATTCTTTATATCTTTATAGGTATACATAAGTTTATAACCATGAAAAAATAGTAATAAAACATTTGGTACATTGCGAGGGAATTACCAAAAGCAATTGGCAGACCCCTATTTGTTCATGGGGTGGGGGGAGTCAACTAACATCATTTCATTGAGTGCAAACTGGGTCCAGGACTAGGGTAAGGAAGGCACTTGCACAACCTTTAGAGTGGATGTCTCCTTAAATGTGCTCCAGGAGTTTCACTCACCCCACCTTAGTCCCGAAAAATCATAATAAAGTGAAAGCTCCTCATTGTGTTATCGACTTAGCGATAACACCAGGCTGATCCAGGGGGCACCAGATCACTGACCATGAAACTTTTTGTTTAATTGAAGGGTTCATTTATGAGGAAGCAGGCAGTTGTGTGGGGAGGCGGTGCTGACTAATACATCTATGCTGGCGAGATACTTTAAGTGGATGTCAGGTGGAATGCTTGTTATAAGAGCACATTCAAGGGAATTTCTCCAGATAAATTGGTCAATTTATGGTCATTAAGCTAACACGAACTCTTTTGCTGCCTACTGCCCAGCCTCTTTTATGGGCGGGCTGTTTGCTAGGGATGCCATTCATGGGAGGTGAGGCTGAGGGACAAGCTGAGGTAGGCAAACTAGGCAAAGGAGAGGACGCACCGGCAAAACTTACTGTTTTCCTGGGAATATCTTGCTCTCCCCATCCTCATCAATTAGTCTACGCAGATGTCATGCATATTCACCAAGTTCAAAACACCCTGTTACTGATTAACCTCCTCTTCTAGGGTGGCTTCTCTATTTCTGACAAAATTGAAGTCAGTCCAGCAGAGCCACTTGGCACTAATGGTTGGAACCAGAGGAAAAACGTTACAGAAACAACTGAAAGTGGAAGTTGACCTACCAGGGTCAACTGTATTTCACTCAAATATCTTCTACATTCCACTTTAAAGTTGTCATTATTATTCTGTTCTCGGGGAGCCTTCCTGAAAGGAACTTCTGGCCTCTGTTTTAGTAGAGCAGGTTTAGGAGGCAACAAAAACACTATAGCACATGTTTGGGGTGGGAGACAGAGAGGTTGCGGATTAGAAGTGGGAAAGGTGTTTGGTATTACGTGAGTCAATATAGGCAGAAAGTTTACAGTTCACTTGTTTGGGTTGAGGTCAACTTGAGGCAAAATAAAATGGATATTTCTAGTTCAGCGTGTCATGTGGGACTATAAGCGTCTGGCCCCAATCCTCTTGTACTAATGGGAACGGTACTTGACTTTCGCAAGCCATGTGATGACGAGGGAGATGATCTCACAGATTTCAGGGATTCCAGGAAAGCAAGGACCAACGTAACAGAGAAGTGTAGAGGGGTCTGGGCATTCAGTTTGAGAATCTTTTGTGAAAACTACTGGAGGTAGTAAGACGAGGGGAGAGGAAAAGCCCACTGGAAAGAGCAAGCATGACGCTTCCAGAACAACAGTAAAAGTCCTATGCTGTACTAATCTCACACTCAGCTTTACTCCATTGCTACTGAGTTGGTTCCGGACTCATAGTGATCCTATAGGGCAGAGTATAAATCCATAGGGTTTCTGAGACTATAAATCTTTAAAGGAGCAGGCAGCCTCATCTTTCCCTTGTTGTAGGTGGTGGATTTGAACAGCTGACCTTGTGATTAGTAGCCAGATGCTTAATTCAATGTACCACCAGGAGTCCTCTCTCGGCTTTAGAGTTCAATTATTCATAATTGTTCATAAGAAGCAAAGCTCTGGTAGACTTTCACTGGATTAGGTGAAAGCACACACCTTCTTTCTTTTCCTTAATGTTTCAGCCATTGACAATTCTGAGTCTGGGGCAGACAAGTGGGGTATTCAGATATAAATTTAAGCCAGGAGTGAATCTGTCTTATTTCCAGCAAAACAAAACAAAACAAAGCAACACCCCCCCCCCCGAAACCTAATTAAACCCTTCAATAGAAATAGTTCAAATACTTTCAAAAAGCAGTTGAATTTTTCCCTAGCTATATATTATTTTATTTTTAAGCTGTTTATTATTTTGAATGGTTTCTTTCTAAATTGGGGAGTGGAGGAGTAGGGGGTGGTGTGCTAATCGCCTCTGCCAAGAAGTCTAGAATTCAGCACTGTATCAGCCAAGGGCCTAGGTCCTGGGGCTTCTTCCGTGAGAATCCTAAGTCTTCTCTAAATGGGATGTTTGTCAGCTGCTGGGCCCTGCTGGAGTGTGGATGACTGAGCTGAGAGCTTGCTTCTCACTAGTGAGCAATATAGCCTATTAACATAAAGAGATCTGCTTTTGTTCTGAGGCTATTACTGCATCCCCTGGAGGTTAACTAATGAATTTTGGAGTGAGGAGAAAAGAAGGGGTTCCTCTTTGTGAAGCAATCTACACTTTCAGTTGCATTTTCTTCTTCTCTCTTGAGAAAGATAGACCGTGAACTCTTCATGACTGGTCTAGTGGGGTTTGTGAGTTCAGAGCATTGTTTCTTTCCTCACGACATGCCAGAAAGCAGACATGTAAAACTCAAACAAGTCACTGCCCTTTCCCAGCTTAGAAAACGAACAAAGACAGTTCATGCCAATCAACTCTGCCGGGAGGGGAGAGGTAGAAACTATGGCTCTGGCACTTGGCCACATCCCCCTGACGCCCAGTTCCAGCCCTGTCTGAGTGGTTAACCGAAAGTTGATCAAACAGCAGAATTGAAATGGAAGAAAGTGTGTCATGAGTCATAGCCACTTGTGAGACTGCCTTTCAGATTTGGGATCTGTCCTTTCAGTCTACATGCTCCTGATGATCTGATCAGAAGAATAAGCTTCCTTTAAACAAATACAAAAGCAAGCACAAACTGCAACCTGAACTGAATGGTGGCGGGCAAGTTCAACTTGCTTTCTATCCTTCAACTAATTCCTTCCTGCAATGAATCCAGCTTTCACTGTTGAGAGACATATGAAGGTTCTCAAGGCACATATACAAGTTTCCTTGGACAGATTGCTGAGTGAACAAATGGCTGCTCTGGTTGTTGGCTGAGCTTGTTCATTCAAAACAATCCAGTCTTGACCTTTCCTAGCTAATGGAGGTGGAGTGAGGAGTATATGTATGTAGGGGGGCGGGGCGGGGTAGTGGCAGTGGTTCTGTATATTTCTTGAAACTCATCACCCTGACTTCCGTGTAGACAATCAAACTGAAGAAGGCATAACGTTTCAGAACAGTCACATTCAATCAACCTTAGGCTGAACTAAGTGCACACGTGCAAACTTCTCCCATGGGAGAGTTCTACTGTGGTCGAGGCAATGGAATCCTTCTGTAGCTCGAAACAGGGCCATAAGGTCTCTCCAAGAAAGTGAATAACCATCAAGGGCCCCCAGCCACCCCTACCCCCCAGGTTTGGTAGTCCTCCATCTCCTCTCACACGATTCCCCTCCAAGACAACAGCCAGGCATAGATTAACCTGGGCTTTAATGCAAAAGGTGGCATTCATACTCTTGAGTCTGGACATTTTCTCTGTGTATATTATTAAGGGAAATGAAAAAAAAATCGATAGTGATGGCAGAAATTGTAAGAATGAGAAAACAAAATATTTGAAGATGTGGCTGAAGTAGTCTTTCTTCGGCTATCCAGACTGTGAGTCCATGTAACAGGAAATATAGGATCTTGTGGTCCTTTTTAAAAAAACACCTGTCTTCTCTCCCTTTTTCTACTCAAGTTTAGTAATCAAATCATGCTTGTAGAACCCAGCACTTAGGTGCTGGAGCTATCAGTGGTTTCATAGTCTTTTGAAAACTGTGCTATAATTCTCCGAGCCAGTGGGTTGGTGGTCTTTAGTAGTTCAGCTGCTGAAGGGCGGGACCTTGGCGTTACCTTACTTCCCTTCTTTTGTAGCAGAGCCTTGAAGTCATCATTTCTGCCAGCATCCAGGTTGGCACTGCTGCCTGACCCTGCAGAGGCAGCAGCCTCACTGATTGTAGAATCAGCGGTATTCTTTATTGGTGAGTGGGCGCTTGGTCGGCTGCCTCCAAAAACCTCACCAGGCTCCTTCCAGCCAAGGAGCTTTCTTTTGGACCTAAATAAGAGAGTTTGGTTTAAGTGAAATCATGCAGCAGATGTTTAGTAATGCTTCATATAATTTCATGAATGCCAGTGATATAACCGGAGAACTTCTATGCAGTAATTTTGTATGGAAGTATCTACCAGCTTGCTCAGCCAAGTCCTCCAGAGTTCCTTGTTGGCCCACCTCCTGCTCCCAAATACCTTTCAATGGTCTGTGTCTGCACGCTTAGTCTTGCCCAGGTTCTGGGGCCACAGAAAGATCTAAGGCAGTGGTTCTCCACCTTCCTAATGCTGCGACCCTTTAATACAGATTCTCAGGTTGTGGTGACCCACCCAAACTATAAAATTATTTTCGTTGCTACTTCATAACTGTAATTTTGCTACTGTTATGAAACGGGCCACCCCTGTGAAAGGGTCGTTCGGCCCGCAAAGGGGTCGTGACCCACAGGCTGAGAACCCCTGATCTAAAGCGTCAAGGCTATTAGCTCATAGACTCTGAATCAAATCAGCCTGGGGGAAGACCCTGTCCTAAACTGGTGCCTTAGTTCCCATAACTGGGGTCTTTCCAATTTCCTTGTGAGTAAGCCAACTGGTCCCCATCTGGTTCCCCTTTGCCTGAGTTCCTTCTTTGACACTCCGCCTGGTGCCTCACCCTTTGGAGATATTTTGGTATAAGAAATTCTCTGAATGTTGAATCCTGTGAGGGTTGAATGTCTCTAAAGTCAACAGAGCAGAGCCCTGGTAGCACAGTGGATTAAGTGTGGAGCTACTTACCACAAGTTTGGCAATTTGAACCTAGCAGCCACCCTACATGACAAAAATGTGGAAGTCTGGCCCCGTTAAGATTTCCAGCCTCTAAAACTCCATGGAGCAGTTTGACTTTGTTATGTAGTATTGCAATGAATCAGAATCTACTCAAAAGCAGTGGGTGGGTTCAGTTCGGCTTATTTGTTGATTTTTTGGTAGACAGAATGATGAGAGAAGAGAGTGATGGGAAAGCCAAGCAGTTAGGGGACAAGAGCCTCTGCTCCACTCTAAGGAGTCAGTGCATTTGAGATTGGAGACCCTGCATTGTGCTCACCTATGTAGATATTTGAATTAGTCTTCTGTTTCGATTCTAATGGCTGCTTGGAAGAAGCAGTTTTTCTTTCAGGATAAAGTGGGAAGGCAATTGCAATATGAATTAAGGAAATTGGACTAATTTACCTGTGTACCACAGTAAATAAATTGCAATTGCAATTGAATTAAGGAAATTGGACTAATTTACCTGTGTATCACAGTAAATAAATCTTCAGTTGTGCGGGAAGCCATAAATACATCATCATCATCTTCTGCAATCGATTCAGCTGTTTTATCACTGATTAAGCTTTTTTCTTCCATGCTTGGATCCATAGAACTCCCTACACAGAAGAACCAGAAGGGATAACTTTAACCACAATATCTAGGAGAGTGCATACTCTTTTCTGTTACTTGATGTTCAAAGAAACTATCGGAGGGCAGCAAGTGGATTTTTCATGCTTTAATTTTTCAGAGGAGGAACATGAGCTTCAGTAGAGTAAGAAGATCAAAAGAAACAATGAACCCAATGGACTAATGCAGTGGTTCTCAACCTGTGGGTCGCGACCCCTTTGGGGGTTGAATGACCCTTTCACAGGGGTCGCCCGATTCATAACAGTAGCAAAATTACAGTTATGAAGTAGCAATGAAAATAATGTTATGGTTGGGTGGTCACCACAACATGAGGAACTGTATTAAAGGGTTGGGGCATGAGGAAGGTTGAGAACCACTGGACTAATGGATCACATGAACATCAGTGTCCATGACCGTGAGGCCAGAATAACTAGATTGTGCCTTGCTACCACTACCAATTGCTTGGAAAGGGATCACAATAGAAGACCCTGAATAGAGTGGGAGAAAACTGTGGAACAAAATTTAAAACAATACAATTGATGAGGCCTACTGGGTGGATAGAGACTGGTGGAATCCCTGAGACTGTGGCCCTTAGTTACCTTTCAGGCCGGGAAATGAATTCAGCCTCATGGCTCAATTTTCAGCCAAACAGTGGACAAGTCTATAGGAGTAACAATAACACTAGGAAGGGATGCATACCTTAGACAAATCAACAATTTGAGACCAAAAGGGCAGCATTTGCCCAAGGACAAAGTTCAGCGGGGTTAGGGAAGAAGGAATGGGACAGAAAACCAAGGGAAGGCGTGAGATAAGTGATGTTACACTGTGGGGATTGCGATCAATGATATGAAACAAAATGTATATGGATCATTGAATAGAAAACGGATCTGTTCTGTAAACTTTGACCCAATTCACAATAAAAAGAAAGAATCATTTTGAGAGGGAGAGAGAAAGGAGGCCGAGGAGAAGAAAGAGGAGAGAAAGAAATCGAGCTCCCTTTCCTTTAAAAGGCACAAACAAAGGATCTGCTGGTCACATAGCCTATAACTTCAGAAGCCTACAAGCCATGCCCTGGCACTGGAACCCAGTATGAGTTCAATGTGGCTAATGAAATGTACTACACAAACGAAGTACAACAGAGTTCCTATGGCCAGGTCTGCATGTCTGACTAGGTAGATGGGGTCCTAAAGTCTTAGCATCCTGGAATCTACTTTGCTTTCATTTTATCACCTCTAAGGGCTCAAGGGTAGACTGGCTCAACGTGACCAGGAAGATTCAACCCTAGGTTAGTCCTGGTCCTAAGAGCAGTAGGGCGTTTAGAGTAACCCTAACTCTTAAGTGGAATACCCTCTTGGTCACCTTGGGGCCCGGATGAATTATTTTGGGGCATTTGATTCTGCAGTTGGTACTCCCTTCTCACCCTCGTATCTCCGGTGATTGGAAGAAAAAGACAGAAGACAGCTTACTGACCCATGAGGTTTGCCTGTGGAGTTGACGTCATCTCTTTTCCAGGCAATTGCAGGTCCTCACAGGTAGGCGGACACTTGGCATCTTCCTCCAGGGTGATGATGGGACTGAGAGGCTGCCTTGGCTCTGCCACATAAATGTCCACCTGAGCTGTGGGGGAGGTGAGAGGCAGGTACAGCACACTGGGCTTTTTTGGTACAGGAGGTGGAATCTTGCCTTTCTTTTGCTCAGCTTCTTCCTGACTCTGGAGGCTAATTCTTTCAGGCAAGGCTCTCACTTTGATGCTCTCATCCTCCGCAGTTCCCAGGGGAGGCAGATGTGTTCCTGAGAAGAAAGCGCCAGAGGAACTGGCAAAAGGGGCGAACACTAGTGGTAAGCGCGCTGCAGATTCCCCTGGGCTCCTGCCATCAGAGGAGCTGGAAGACTTTGGTTTCCTCATCACTGTGTAGATGTCTGGAGGGAGTGGCTTCATGTGTTGAATTGAGCTCTTGCTGGTCATAGCCAGAGTAGGTGAAGTTAGTGGGTAACCCCTGGGGCCTGATGGTGTTCTGTGGACCAAGCTCAAAGGCCTTTGGGCCAACGGAGGCTTCTCAGCTACAGGGGGCTTCATTTTTCTCTCAGACAAGGTGAAGACTTCTGTTCCAGGCTCTTCAGCATAGTCGGGACTGTCAGCGTCATCTTCTGGCTCAGACTTGCTGACTGACCTCAGGCGAACAGAACGTAGGTCAGATTGAGTAACCATGGGCATGATTGGCTGGTTGGGACTAGCTTTCTGGGCCAGTTTGGCCCCAAAATTTGTATCTGAGTGATGCCGGCTCACCTTGGTTTTACTTGGGATGGAGATACTCATATAAGACATATCCAGGTTGGTGGAAGAGGTCAAGGGTAAGTCAAATGATAGCCTTGACTTGGAACTTTTCTCCATTGGCGATGTCGGGGGTAGTGATGATTTCCTTTCGGGCACCACTGGACGTACCCGAACACCGCTGCTAGGAGGCGCAAAGTGGCCAAGAGTCAAAGACATGGACACAGTGGGTGTTGGTGTCTCTGACTGACTGGAGTATCCACTAGATGGTGACATTAGTCCGGTGGGCCTTCCTGGAGAGGTTATCTCCCGGGCCTCCATCTCAATGGAGAGTTGTGAAGGCGTAGTGGCTCTGGAGGTGGAAGGGGAAGCAAGAGACTCTGAGCTGCCTTGAACTTGGGTGCACTCAATGACTGTGGTGCCAGTGGCAGTACTAGAGCTGGACAAGGACTGGTAGGTGTCACCAGACTTCCAGTCAGTAAGATCCCAGTGGTGGGAGGGTTGTGTACCTTCAGCATCTTTGAGGGTTGGCATAGGTGGCTGGCCCTGAGCATCTGGGTGGGACAAATTCTGTCTGTGGTGCTCCAAGGACAGACAAAGACTCTTGGGTCTCTGGTCCTTGGGGCACATGCGCCCCCCTTCTGGCAAGAGGACTGGTTCATCTTTGACCAGTGAGACGCTGCGCATCGGTGGAAGAGGCTTCTTTTTGGCCTTCTTGAGCGAGATACTCTTGGACCTTTGCCTTCTGTGCTTGGCCTCCTGTTCGGCACCGAAGGAGGCAATGTTGTCAGCACTGTTACTTCCCTCACAACTTGTACTCGCATAAGGCAGGCCACAGGTTTCGCTGGCCTTCTGCCTTTCATCATAGTCCACCTCGATGATGCCCGAGTCTGTGGGCACAGACAGGGAACGCTCGCGGAATTTGCTGGCCCCACCTGGGCCTCTCTCCAGTCTTGAGGTACCGCTGGTCAGAAGGCCAATCTTGGCAGTTCGTTCTGGGACTTGCCTTCGTTGAGGAGGGTGCTCTGAGTAGCTAGCTAACCCACTGCATCCTGCTGGGTTACCACGAGTGACAGAGAGGGTGGCAGTCTCCTTGGGCACCAGAGGCGGGAGTGTCTTTAAAGAGACCCAAGACTTCCCGGAAGGATTCTTTTCATTTTCATTGACTTGATTGCTCTGGCTGGCAGCACTTGGAATCATGTAGGTGAAAGTATCTCCCTTCCAGGAAGTGGAGAATGTAGATTCTGTTGTTCCATTGCAAGAATTGGGGACACTGTACAACATTCCCATGCTCTCCATGCCCGGAGGGTTGGCACCACTATGCTCTTGGTGAGCTTCTTCCCGATGGCCAGAAGGATTTCTGAGTACTGATGCGGTGAGATTTTGGAACTGAGTTTCCTGACTAAGTGCAATTCTTCCGTGAACACCTTCTGGGACTGAATGGCTGGACCTGCTATCTGAAGTGGTTGAGTTGGCCACACTGTCTGCTGGGATGTTGCTATGACCTGGAGGAGGCAAACACAGAAGGTTAGTGTTGCAGAAGGAGATCCCTCCATCAGTTACCTAGAAATCCGAGCGCCAAACTTTTGCCAAGAAGCTCTTGCCAACAGCTTGGTCAGAATTCCTTGGTTCATCCTTTCCATAGCTGGGGATGCTGGGGAATTTGGGGCCTGCTCATTATCACACAGTCAGTGACAGGGTGCTCTGAATTCTCGTCCATACATCAGTTATGATCGTTTACTAGTAATACTACAACTTTAATGATTTATGAGAACACTCACCATTTTTGAACACCTGCTAGGCAGAAGGTACATGGTAGCCAAAGTACATGAAAGAACGCTAATGCTCAAAGTTGTGTCAAAATTATTACCCCCAGTTAGTAGATGAAAACACTGAGGCTCAGGTAGGTTATATAACTTGGTCAAAGCCTCCGAGTAAGGCAGTGAAGGGGCTAGGACTTACATCCAGATCTCTCCAGTCTGTGCTCTTTGGATGGCACTTATTTAATGGTAGCAATGGTTTTTAAGATGTTATTAAGATGTTGATTTTAGAGACCATCCCTTTTCCCCTTTAACTGTTTGCCTAATTTTGGCCTATAGCATGGGAGACAAAAGTATAATGAACTTAGTAGCCTGGGAGATAATATTCAATTGCTCTCCTTGTTCAATTGCTGCTCTTGGCAAAAGACCCATTGGTAGTCATAATTACCATACTGGCATTTTTTTTTTTTTAAGGAAATCCAAAGCCTATTTTTCCCATCTACCCATGTTCCCTATCACCTCAATACCACCTGGGGCAAGATTGGTGGGAGTAAGCCAGGGAATGGGTCTGTGAAATCGGTGGTGGTGGGGGGGGGTCACCTTCGTCTCGCTGGGAATAGTTAGAGGATCCAATAATGGTCCGCCTCCGCCTCAGGGTGGACTTGGGGTTCACGGCTGTCTCCGTGTTAAACAACGAGTGTCGCAAACGTGCATGTTTATCAAACTGCTGTCCTGTAGCCAAAATAAAGACACTTGGGTACATCCTGGTTTCTGCTGAAAGTACAGTGGAAATTGGCCCCAGGTAAAGCGAAGAGATGATGGTAGTAGCAATGAGTATGAGTAGTGTTTGAGCAGGTGGTATGTTCCTCCCTTCCCTCCCAATTTGGCCCTGGGCACTCACAGCCCCAAGGGACACATACTGGGCTTCATAGGGCATCTCCAGGTTCACTCATGGGTCTCAGATGGGCTAAAATGGTGGTTTTCAACCTTGGCTGTGTATTGAAATAAACCAGAGCATTTGAAACTCCAATACCTGGACCCCACCTCATAAACATTTAAATCTCTGGGAGTAAGCTCAAGTATAAGAAGCATCTTGGGTGATTCTGATGTACATCCAGGGTGAGAGAGCCAGTGTAGACCAACAGGTTGAGACTAGTTGTTTCTGAATTGGAATCCACTTTAAGGGAAAGCCAGGTTAACATTTCCGAAAAGCTGTCCCACAGTCTCCCACCAACCAAGAAGCCACCAGATATTCTGTTCCATAATATGATCACACTATCAACCCCCACCCCCACCCTACCCCCGCATAGTAATTAAGGCAAGGGAGTAATGGTCTCTTAAGGTGTTGGGTTGGTCATCAGCTCCTGTGAAGTTGTTGGGGCCGGACCAGGGAAGTTATAAGTTCCCCTGACCCTCTCTTATTCAGCAGCTAGCCAACTACAGCCCTCTCCTCGTGGCCTGTGGCTGCATATGCATACCCATACTTCAGCAAGTGGCTCAGTGGAAGAAACTCAGGGACAGCCTTCTCCAGCATAATAGCGACATTTAGAAACAAAGCACGCAGCATCACTTTATGAATCTCTCCTCACCACCTCTTCTTGCTCAGTACATGCTCCCAGGCTGTGGGTTCTGTTCCCGACCTCTGAGTTCCAGAGATGCCACCGCCTTCCCAGAGATCATCACTCTATGTGGATCTGTCCTCATTGTCTTTACCAACTTTGTCGAGTGTACCATGGGTTGGTGTTGGCCCACTAGATCCCTCTGGCCCTTTGGGGCAACTTAAGTCTGGATTTCCTCAGGTCACTGGCCCTATCTGCCCCAGTCCCCCCTCTATAACTGACCATTCTCCTTTTATTCCACTTACAGTTGATGGAGTGTAGGGCACAAACTAATAATGGGCATGCTATGTGTGACCTATGTCCTCAAAGCCACTACCAAGTGGGCTACATGTGCCACTGTTTCTACTGTTATGGGCAGGGAGCTCTGGATTCCCTAATGATGGTTACCGTCCTTCTTGAAAAGCTTGCCAAGCAAGTTGAGAAGCTCACCGAGCTAGAAGACCTGTTGTGTCCTTAAAGGGCCACAAGGCCTCTGGTCTGTGCTCTAGGTATGTTCCCTCCCCTCTCCCACCAGCACGAAGACTCGCCCACGTCCCCTTCAATTTCTGTGTGAACCAACCCTGGCTTTGGCAAAAGAGGTTGTCTTTCCCCAAACAAAAAAGAATAGACAAACTGAAAGTTTCTGTACACACTTGAAAGAGCATACAGGTTCATAAAGTTTTAGAGTTTGTGTTTAGGAAAAAAGTTGTTTACTATCAGATGGCGTTGTAGTGCCAATAGGCAGTAGAGAAGCAGCAACAGAGGCCCCCCTTTTGCATGCCTCTGCCCCGTGAACAGGGCCATGATGAAGACAGAGCAGGATGAGCTAGAAGCAGAGAGGATGGTCCGCAGTGGGAATGGATGCAAGCGAACAGAGGGCGTGTTCAGCAACTCTACCAGATATGTCGATGGGCACAATGCCAGAGTGCGTGGAGCAAGGCGGAGGCCACCGCCTCTCCTCTAGGATGGGCAGAGGGGAAAGACTTTTCCAGGCCGTTTGATTGCTGGTTGTGGTAGACAGGCTCAGTGAGGTCTCAGGGGTCCTGACACCCAGGGTGGTGGTCTCATCCTTGCTCAGCTGCCATTTTGTAGGCTGTTGGGAAAGAAGGCGATGGAAAGGGTGTATTCCCAACTGGAGATGAGTTAGTGCCCACGGTTGGCTGTTCAGCTAGGGGGGTTAGGGTCATCAGTTTGGAGCCAGGATAGGCTGCCTGGTCAGGTACTGGCCTGTGCAGGGCCCATCCAGGCGGGGCTGCAGAGTAGCTCTGCTGGCACATGAAGGTAAACTGCAGCTTCCAGTGGGCCATGTCAGCAGCTGGTGGTCCCCTGTCAGTGGGCACAGGGTGAATGCTACACGCTGGTTTTCTCAGGTCAGGGAAGAGGCAACTCACCATGGACACTAACTCCAGATGCCTGGTAGGCTGGGGCCTTGGATTGAGAGTAGGCTCAGGGGGCTCCTCAGAAGGGCGGAAGGTCTGCCCCAGGAATCTGGTTTCTGAATCCTGTTCCTCATATTCTTCTGAAAAATAGCACAGTGGATACACAGTCTAGGGGCCATAGCCACACACTGGGCTACGGAAGGGCCATGAGCCAGGACTCCTGCTCTAACCACGAGGCCGGACTTACACTGTTTCTGTAGCATATTTCCTGGTATCCGAGCCTCTGAGTTCTGAAAGAAGAAAACTCTTCTACCTAGGGCTCAGAGGGCTGAACAGAAAAGGAAGGCAAGAAATTCAATCTGCGCTGGCTCAGGGACCAAACCATTGTCTCTGAGCCCCACTCGAAGAAGTGCGCCATGCAGAGAGAGGGCTCAGGGTGCCAACATCTTTTGCTACTTGTTATTGCAAGAGTCATTTTTTGAAGTCCTTCTGCAGATTTTCTGCAACCCTACCAGAGAAGTGACCTGTGTCAAGCAAGAAGAAATTGGCATTTGAAAGTCCAACCTGGAAATCTCTCTTTGATGTCAAGAGTTCTGACTTGAACGCCCCCCCCCCTTTGGCCTGGTTTCCTGCACTTAAGTTCCACTTTGGGTAGTGTCAGGTGTAGGAGAGGTATGCTGAAGGAAAGGAAAGAAAGTAGTGCCATGGGGGGAGGAGAAGTTTGGGGGCATTGTCAGGGAATAAGAAGGATACAGCACGAGTAGAGTGGGTTTGATTTCTGTGAGTTAGATGAGTGAATGAAGAGAGCCAGGGTAAAGCGAAGAATAAACAGGTGTGCTTCTATTTACATTTGGACACCGACTCTTAGAGTCACAGGAACTTGAGGGTTGGCAGGACCTCAAAGGTTCACTGTTCTGTGTTAGACCTGCTCCCTCAGCAGCCTTAAACAGCCTTAAATAGCAGACCTTAAGTGCTGTTTAGCCTGGGCACACACCTGCATGAGGGGGCACTATTTTATGGTGACCAGACGTTCTGCTTTTGACAGGACAGTCCCGATTTTTAACAATTTTTCCCGCGTCCCACGGCATTTTAAAAAAGTCCCAATGTTTGGAAAGGATGCACGACAAGCTAGGATAGCGGTTTTCGGCTGCCATGTGGCTATTTCGCCAGGATATGAGTTTTATCAATGGTGTCCCGCTTTTGTACTGCTTTACCAATGTTAAAATCTGGTCACCTTACACTATTTCCTTCCAAAGGCATCTCATATCATCCATGGATAGTTGAGGCTGTCAGGTGTGTCATGAAGTTCACCCTGTCTTGAGGTGAAATCTCTCTAAGGTTTCTATCCTAGTTCTAGTTCTGCTCTTGCTGGCCTGAGAGAACACATTGACTTTACACTTTCCCTGCACGACAGCAACTCTATTCTGGGAACACAAGTCGCACCATGTTCCTTGGGATCTTGCTTTTCTGTGGTCGTTGTTGCTGTGGTAGGGGGTTATAGCCCTTTGGGGATTGTCTGCTATCCAAATGAGTTAACCTTTGTTGGGATGCATCCACGAGAGCTGTTATGATCTTTTTAATTTTTTCTTTCACACTTAGCATTCACACAAATGTTTCCTAAGCACCTCTTGGGGATCCAGCCCTGTGCTTCTGGAAATACTGAGCTACTAAAATGTGATTCTTTCCATTGAGAAATTCAAGTCTGGTGAGGTTCACCAAATATATACCCAGGAGGAGCACATGACGGAATAATTGAATGAATACGTGAGAGAACAAGCACTTCAGAACTATATACGTCCTCTCAGCCTGGATGATACAAAGTGCTACGTTGTGCTATGGAGGGAATGCAAAGCACAGAATTAATGTCAGACGATGTGTTGTTGTTGTAGAGGTAAGGGTATAACTTTGAAAAAAGTGTAAGAATGAGGATGAAGAGAAGGGGGGAAGGGCTTCTAGGCTTGGAAAAGTGACCTGAACTGGACATGCATAAATGGTAGGCGTGGCAATGCATGTCTATCGAGCTTCTGACGATCGCTGAGCGTTTATTTTTATCTTCTGATTAAGGCACTGTGTACGCAGAGTACATTTCACAAAGTGTAAGCGTTCCGTTCAGCGAGTTAGATGTATCCAGACCCTCTGGTGATCGTGCCCAGATAGTTGCAGCAGCCTAGTTGTCCTCCTCATAGCGCTTTTGCCACCTCTGTTGAATCAAACCTTTCTCCTCGAGGTGTCTGTCCTTCGCATCGTAGGGAATCACAATGGATTGATCTCCCTCTGCCCACGTTCCAATGGACATGTAATGGGAATTGATATTATGCCCTAACAAGGGTTTCTCCAGCTGCAAGCTCATCTTGCTTAGCGGTTTACACACTTTCTACCACTACTCTTTGCAAAACTGTACTGTAAGGAATTCGAATCTTCGTTTTAAAGATGACTGATTCATCTGACGCGGAGGGAGTTGGGGCCATCGGCATAATGTGACACAGCTAGCTCCATGTGGCATTTGCATGCGATTCCAGTTCTGTCTGCTTCCAGTCTGGACTTTCTCCACCCTGCCTGCTGTATGCCATCTGAGTGCATGGGCAAAACGGCTGGAGCTGCTGCATGGGAATGAAGTGAATGCTGGGGGCTGTGCCTTTGGGGTGATGTGAGCCATCCAGGAAGCGCAGGGTCAAGTTTCCTGCAAGAGCAGAGTGAATGCAGCCCAACTCCAGGGACTCAAAGGCATGAGCCACCTGCAAAGAGAAGGCTGGTCGCAAGGGGTTGGTCTCACATTGTGAGGGCATCTTTGTGAATGGCCTGACCCACTGACCTGCTCCAGCCTCGGCCCCCTTTCCCCCTTGGCCTCCTGAATTGACCTGTTGTTGTGAAGTGGATTCCGATTCTGAGAGACACTGGAGGATGAACTAGCCACGGGTTTCCAAGGCTGTCTGTCAATCTTTACAGAAGCAGACCTCCACATCTGTCCCCTGGGTGGTTGGTAGTTTCCAACCCTGGGCCTTCTGGTAGTTGCTGAGAGCCAGGCAGGGGTAGTGCCCATTGGTGGAAACAGAATCTTCCAAGTGGCAGGTGGGACATGTGTGCTTTGGTTGTCACTGTGTTGGTCACTGCCGACTTGTTCTCCCTCCTGGTGGCCCTCCCTTGGCCTTGGGCCACAGCAACACAGGCTCCTGGCTGGGCTGCCCGTCACTCTCAGAACCTTGCCCCAGGCTCTGCAGCGTGAGCTGCACCTCGCCAAGCAGGTCCTCCCCGCTCTGGGGCCTGCCTGAAGTGCGGAGCCGGTCCCCTGGCGGTGGCCACGGTGACCTCGAGTGGGCAGTTGCCTTCTCATTTTCCTGAGCCGACTTCACGGCAGCTAAGGAAGGAGAGAGTCAGTAGGAGGCGCGGCCGAGGGAGACTGGTCAGTGGGATTGCCTCCCCCCCACCCACACACACACCACGGGCCCGCCTGGGGTGGCGCTGGGGGTGAGGCAGGAAGGCGAGGTGGCATTTCAAATGAGGCTCTCCGGTGGCCACAAGGGTTGTCCTCTCCAGCTGCTGCCGCCTCGGCTGCCTCCCGCTGCTCTGCAGCCAGCTCCCTGCGCACCGCCTTTGCTGGCCCCTGGCCTCGGCCAGCGATGGGGTCACGTGGCCCAGGGCCCAGCGCAGGGGACCCACGCACACACTGCCCACGCGGGGCCACGTGGGAGATGCGGCCCAGCCCGCCGCCTGCTCTTGCGTCTGGATGCAGCCCTTCCTGCACTTTGGCATCAAAGGCTTAAAAGGCCCAGGGAACATAGCCCCTCTACCTGTCTGAGGCAGCTGGAACTCTCCATGAGCCCACACATGGCGAATGTAGCCCCGCGAGAATAAGAATACAGTGAACCCTCGCCACTTCGCGCTTCGACTTCCGCTGCTTCACTCTATCGCTGTTTTTGTGTAACAGCACCCACTGTCTACACCCGCTCCTTCAGAGGAAAAAGACCCCACTGCCTACACCCGCTCCTTCAGAGGAAAAAGACGGCGACCCACCTGTAGAGTACATCCCTTAAGTCATTTCATAGGCTATTGATTACAGTATTTATAAGAACTATGTATAATAATACTGTATGTGAAATATGTAATACTGTAAACTAGATGCCATAAATAATATAATAAATAATAAATGATAATTGTAACATCCAAAATGTTTTACTGTATTTTCCCTTTTTCATTTAATAAATTGGGTAATACGAGTGTAATGGTGACTAAAGGGTGTTTTTTCATGTCCTCTATGCTCTAACTACGAAAATATTTGATTTACAAATAAGGAATCCTACTTCGCGGAATTTCATTTATCATGGTAGGGTCTAGAACTGATTAATCGTGATAAACGAGGGTTCACTGTAATTACAGGGGTGGCATGGAGGGTGGGGGTGGAGTGGGGGGAGAATGCCAATTGGGGCCTTCAGCTTCAAAGAGCCCTACCAGAAGTTAACTCCTTGTTACCTTCTTGAGTTCGATCTGCTAGCTAGCGGATACCCAGAGAGCGCCTGCCCATCCTGGCGGAGGATAACTGCCCTTCTTAAGCAGGCTTCCAGTGCCCCTGGAGGCCTAGTCGATCCCAGATGCATTGCAAATTAGCATAATCCAGGATTATGGTGCCTCTGAAAGCCCAATGACCCCTCACATCTGCCCAACCTACGACTGACTGCCGTTGCCACCCCTCTAACACCCACTGCCAGCGATGGAATCCTTGTCAGGCGACCGCCTCTCCCTGCCCATATTCCTGATACAACGAGAGACTTTCATTGTCAACTCTGGGCATCACGTCCCTAGAGGCACCAAGCAGGTGGCCTTTCTGATTTCCTTTCTACTGGTCTATCTCCATCACCTCAGAGAGAAGCCCCAGCATGCCAGTTTCCTGTGCTTCTTGTATGAAACCTGTAAGCAATTCTGTGGCCCATCTCCCCATCTGTGGCTGAAAAGGCCATTGATTAGCTCAAGCAAAGACACTGCACCCCCTGCAGCCACGCAGATGCTTCCCAATTCCGCTCCAATTCTGGTCTTGGTATAACTGCTGTCTCCAATACCAATTCATTACAGATCAGGTGGATTTGTCTGCAAAGAGCTCTGATAGCCACCCCAAATGGTCAACTTGGATGACTTGATTCTTCAATGTGTGGAGCTAGAAAGACAAATATGTATCCCCAAGCCAAACCCGCTCCCTGAGGTTCACAATCTCTGATACTTTTGCTGCTCACCTTAATGATGAAGAAAGGAAAAATCATGGGTAGGACCATGAGGATGAACATGAAGAGGCTTTACCTGAAAGATCAATGCAAGTGCATAAAGTCATTTTGGCAAGAAATGAGGGAGGAGGAGGTGGAAGAGATGAGGAAGGAGGAGGAAGAAGGAAAAGATGAGAGAGGAGGAGATAAAACAGAAAGAGGAGGAGGAAGAGACAAGGAAGAAAACAGCACAAACATGAGAATAAGGATAAGAATAAAATTTTATGAGGATGGGGCTGAGGAACCAGACCAGAACAAGAGATGGAGATGTCTGGGAGGACCAAGATCAGCACATGGACACTACAAAGAGCCCATTGTCCTATACTTTATCCCAGGATCCTGGCTCTGCAAGTGACAACCATGCCCCAAAAATGTCCTCAATGCCTCGCTGCCCATAATACAACCTGGTAGATGGAGGAAGCAGAATTGCGTTCCACTTCTGGAAAGGAGCCCTGGTACCAATTCACCATTGTCCAGCTCACCACAGACTTACGAGCACATCACTTGGGGCAATGCCAAATGAGAAGGTACAGCTCAGTATTATTCACCTTACCCTGAGACAGGGGTCATGTGTTGCATGCAGCCAGACTCACACATGAGTGCTGGGGCAAGGTGACACCTCAGAGCCACTCAGCTCCCTTTCCTGCATCCCCTGCCCCAGCTATTGCTGCTACACCCATCCCATTTGTTGACGAGTCCGCTCCAGAGAGATGTCCAGACTTACAGACCCTGGAGAAGACATGCATAACAGAAAACCTGCAGTGCGCCAGACCAGCTGGCAAGCATGACTAAGGAGTGGCACGTCCCCAACCAAGGTCACATGGGAAGGAGGTGTCAGCATTGGCTGTCATCTGGGCATATGCTCGCCTGAGCCCAGACACAAGCCAGAGAACAGGTTTCCAGGCCTGCTTTCCTGATGGAACTGGTTCCCCTCTGGTGCTTCACTGCCAGTTGTTGTTAACCCTTAACCTCTCTTACGTTTAGTTCACCCTGTGATACATGGTTTTACCCTCCGATTAGCTTACCAGGACCTCACTCACTGCTTCCTTGGCCTGTCCCAATGATATAAAGGACAGGCTACACTGAACAACTAAAGCGACGGAGGCCAGTTACTAGAGATAGTATGGGTTGGGATGATTTCTCAACGTTTAATTCCTCTTGTATATAAATCTCTTTCTTATACAAAACAAAACAAAAACAACAACAACAACAAGAGAAATATACTTGGAAGCCTCCACATGTCTCAAGCTACACCTCCAGCAGAAAGGCCTTGAAGGAGACCCTCCATCCGGTCTAGTGAGCGAACCTGTGCAAAGCCACATGTCAAATGGACAACATGGCTGAGCTTTGTCCTTAGGTCACTGTGTAAACCAGTGCTTCTCGACCTTTCTAATACCACGACACTTTAATACAGTTCCTCATGTTGTGGTGACCCCCCCCCCAACCATAAAATCATTTTTGTTGCTACTTCATAACTGTAATTTTGCTACTGTTATGAATCGGGCAACCCCTGTGAAGGGGTAGTTTGACCCCCAAAGGGGTTGCAACCCACAGGTTGAGAACCGCTGGTGTAAGCGGATTCCCTTCCAATGCCTTCCAATGACACTGCCCAACAAAAATTTTTTTTTCTTGGTGTCTTCATTTTTAGGCCTGTTCCTGGAGTTATTTGGGGTGCTGATTCCGAAAATTGCCTTGAATAGACTGCATCAATTATAGTTTCTTAGACATAGCATTCCACTATATCTTTTTAGCTATTATGTTAATCTGTTATTAATTTATCATCCTACTTTTAAATATGAGAAGAATTCAGACCTACAAATTGTAGGATAATACAAAAAAGGTAAGAAATATTGGAAAAAGGATTAGGTATTCATAGAAAAAGCGGGGAGGACCAACTTCCAAGTGGGGGGAAATGACTAACAATACTTTTAAGAACCCTAAGGGGGGACTATGCCCAGTAACATGCACATAATAAACGACATTGGCCCTAGTTTCTGTACACACCCTGGGGACCCAGGCCAAGTGCCATAGATGGGGGCATTGAATCATGGATCTTCAAGGCGCACAAACGCTCCAAAGGCCATACCAGAGGGATCCGTTGTGGAAACTGCAGTAGGTGAACTAGAATGTACCTCGAACACAGCTGTAAACTGAGGACTTAAGACTGAAATTACATGGTGTTTGAAGAAGTAAAAGACAGCTAAGCCAAGAGTATTGAATTGTTGGCAGGCAGACAAACATTGTCTCAGTACATCAAGGCCCTACTTGCTGTGTTAAGAGAGATATTATTCTGGCAGATCTGTGATTGACATTGTCAGTGAGTATTAATGTAAATTTTGCCTGACAACCAACTCCCATTGTGTGAATAGTGGATTCAGACACATAAGGATTTATTTTGTACAAATGAATAATTCAGGTATTGTGACATGTAATTAGTCTACACTTGTTCAATATCCCTCTCTCAACAGTGTTTTAAATATTAGTACCATGTGCTGGAAAAATGGATGTCTACCTGCAGAAAAGTGAAGCAAGACCCTTGTCTTACTCCAGCCACAAGAATAAACTCAAGGTGGATCACAGATCTCGAGGTAAAACCCCAAACTATTAGAGCCATCAATGAGGGAATTGGGACCAACCTGAGAACTTTGGTGCAGGGAATACATAGGCTATCAGAAATAGGGAAGGACACAAACACAGATGAGGCACAAATTGACAAGTGGGATATACTGAAGATAAAACACCTGTGTACATTGAAAGAATTCACCAAGAGAGTAAAAAGAGAGTCCACTGACTGGGAAAACATCTTTAGTAATGACACATCAAATAAAGGCCTTATTACTAAAATCTACAATCCTCTGCTAGCTTCCAAAAAGAAAAAAAAAAACAATTGCCCACTGAGGAGGTAGGCAAAGGACCTGAGCAGATGTTTCCCAAGGGCAGAAATCCGAATGGCCAATAAACATACGAGAAAATGTTCCCGATCATTAGCCATAAGAGAAATGCAGAATAAAACAACAATGAGATGTCACCTAACAACACCCTCAAAGATAGCCCAATTCAAAAAATGAGAAAGCAACAAGTGTTGGAGGGGCTGTGGTGAGATAGGACCTCTCATCCACTGCTGGTGGACCTGTAGGTATGTACAGCCACTACGGAAATCGATTTGGTGATTTCTCAAACAGATGGAAATTGAGCTACCATACGACCCAGAAATTCCCCTACTGGGCATATACCCAGAAGAGGCAAGAAACAAACGATGGCCAGACATCTGTGCTCCAATGTTCATCATGGCACAGTTCACAATCGCAAGGAGTTGGAAACAACCCAAATTCCATCAACAGACAAATGGATTAAAAATTTGTGGTACATACATACAAGGGAGTACTATGCATTGCTAAAAAGCAGTGATGAACGCATGAAGCACATCGCTGCATGGGAAGAACTAGAGGAAATTATGCTAAGTGAAGTAAGCCAAGCACAAAAGGACAAGTACAAATGAGTCCGCTGAGGTAAGCTTACGAAAAAAATGCAAAAGGGGCATAGGGAAAAAGCTACAAATATTCCTGGGATGAGGTCCAGGTAGTATGGCAGGGGCCAGACCAAATCCAGGGATACACATGGGAGCCAACTAAAAAAGAGGGGGGAGGGATGGGTAGTGGGGGAACAGGGCACTAACACACTCAAGGGGAGGGTATTGTTTATATCTTCACAGGAAAAGAGTGACCAGACTCCAACCTGGTGCTCCAAGATGTGAATGCAACATACCGGCATGAAGCAGGGAACCAGTAGAGAGGTCTGAGGGGCTGGCCCCAATCCCAACTACGTGGACAGCCACCCCTCCCCCCAAAAGAATTTACTTCAGAGGACAGCACTGAAGCTACAGCTTAGGGAGAGGGACATGTCAGATCAGACCACATGGGCGCAAATGAAGGGGGAGGAAGAGAGAATAGAGCACACCCTGGCCCACCAAGCCTTGAGGACGATATCTCTGCTCAGAGCAG